GAGGCGAGCCAACTTTGGACTATGTTTTAATCAGTGCTCAGCCCGTCCTGTTTACTCCCCTATCAGGAGAGCATCTATAAATACCTACTAGAATGAATAATTGTAGCCCTTGGTGAGTTTCCAAGGGCTTCCTACAAGACGAAAACATAGCAAAGTGATATTAAAGTGGGAATATACAGTATCCATGGCTGTCTAGTGTCGTCTTTACTCTATAAACGCCCTGTCGGTGTCTCTCGAACAGTCTTGGATTGCACGTCGCCCTTTGAAACGATGTAGCAATTACGTTGTCTCCCTTTGCCCGAGGACCCCAAATTAAAATGAATGAGCCATCAAAGTTCTCCGCCAAACTGTGGGACAGCGCGAGAGTCGCATGGTGCTGTAGGTATAGGCTTTGTTTGGAAAGTCTAAATGACGCTGTTGTTGTTGTTATTGATGCAATCTTGTCTTCAAGCTCTCACAGTGGAGAACAAAAAGGAAAAAAGTACCAGCAGATTTTCCGACTGCGGAGAGCTGTTATCCGACAAACTATACCACAATAACAACATTGAAATCAATAGTGCTGAATCTGTTTTTCTTTCATCTAAAATGGCACCAAGCAAGCTTACTTTGTTTTGGGATTGCATGTCAAAGTAATCGATGTCGGAAAACTGTATAATGAGTGCATTGATAGCCAAACTTCCACAGTTTTTAAATAACTGCACGTCAGCTTTTTCAACCGCTCCATTTTCATGTACATTGACAGAAATTGTGCTGTCTATTAATAATATGCCATTTTGATTTTAGATCTAATGTTTGCTTTTTCAAGTCAGCGTGAAAATGCATTCGCACTCATCACTTCGGTAATGTGGCATATTGTATAGAATGCTTCAGGGATTATGTATTTTTGTAGGCCAAAACCTGGAAACAAGTTAGCATAAATGCCTTCAATAAGGTCTATGGTTAATACAAGCTTAAGATGTTTCCACGCTTTACTCAACAATATCAGTAATACTCTCTTGTCTTGAAAAAGGCAGTTGTTAACAAGTGGCTAATTGAGACTATAGAGGTTTTCAGTGACGTTAAACGTCATCACACCGAACAGGAAAATTCATCAACTTACAAGTTCATTTCACAGTCTTGTTGAATCACGCACTTGCAAACTATTCTAAATTAGCATAGTGATGGTGACGTTGAAGTCATGCAACTGTGCTGTAGTTCGTTTATAGTCTACATTTAGTGTTTACTGCATGGTATTTAGGCTTCAGAGTCCTTCAGATTTTAGTTTTCAAGATGATCATGATGAATAACATGTAAGAATCATAATCTTTTGTTGGCCACAGAGCTTATTTTCTGCAATAATCCAAAAGCCTACTGTTATCTTGTTGAGGGAATGAGGGTGATGCTAACTCCTGGGTAGACCTATAAAAATACATCATCATTGCAGGACATTATTGCAACAGGGTGTTTGACAAAACATGTACTTGATTTTATCCCAAAGGTAACACTTTTGAATCTAATCATTGTTATTACATGAACCAACATTACTCGGTTGACTATTACCTGTATCTCAGTATAACACAATTGATATAGCTAAAACAGTAGATCATTGCGCGAGGAGCACCAATGTCATATGTGCACTTGAAATAATTGATGAAATTGACAGCTCTGAGTTTGTAAAATTTGACAAATATTCTTCTTTAGAACAACATGCACTGATGAATATGACACTAGGACAGTGTGTTCAGGAAGTAAATGGTGTCCATGTTGACTTTAAAGGCCATCTTTAAACACACACCGTCTGCACAACATAATCAACCTTTTGGAAAACTTCTCCAAATTGGTGTTTTGGTTGCTTAAAGCAATTAGTGAGTTTGACAGAGCCAGCTGAGCTGTTGATTACAGATATTTATAACAGTGACAGAAACCTGGAGAGGAGACGGCATTCTCCTCTGCCACCACAGAGAGGTCAGGACAGCTTTCTTTCTCAAATTAATGGAGGAATTTAAGATTCACAGAAACACGGTGTGAACAAAAGCTAGAGATCTAAAGAAACATCTATAAAGTTTTCAAGAGGAACAGCTTGAAGTTTGGGAAGCACTGGTACATCAAGCTTCCTCCATCCAAACCCTGGACATCAAAGAGGTAACAGATCTGAAGAGATCATAGGAAAAAGATTGACAAACAATACAGCAAAACCTGTATAGATTGAATGAGTTTGTTGGGTCTAGAAAATAGTGCTGCAACTAGCAACTATTAGCCCATTTTTATTGATAGATTTTTACTAAAAGCATGTTATTCCACATCTTGTATTTATGCTTTATAATATGTGTGAAAAAGTTTTAAATGTGAGCATCACAATATAAGAACTCCTCTCAAATTCCTTGGTTCACAAATGAAGGAATGTCATGAGTTGTTTCTTTTTATTAAATCGGCAATATACAGTGTTGCTTGTGTAGCCTGATCCATGAACAAATGGCACTTATGAGCAGGGCCGTTTCTAGGCATAGGCGAGCTAGGTGGTCACCTAGGGCGCCACCAGCTGAAGGGGCGCCAATGAGCGCACGTACTGGCACTTTTAGCAGGGTTGTGATAAAGAGTGGCACGGTCACCCTGAAATATGACTGCCGCCCCCACTGGATCCCCCAACATTATTGGGCTAGAGTACTGTCAATCTGACGATGCCTGTATGCCACTGGATCAGAGTGCTGTCAATTGCTGCCTGATTGTTGCATGCAAAGTTTGCATTTGGAGCGCTCAACAACGCCGTTAGATCAGTGGGCTGTCAGTGCTTTGGCAAGGTAACACTTTTTTTTGCCATGCAATAAAGCTAAGTTCAAAGGCCAATTTAAAATATTGGTACAGTAAATAAAGTGCACAAAATCAGTATTTTGTTTAGGCAGTATTTGTGGCACTTTTGTGGCACATTTGTCCAAATATTTGTGGCAGATTTGTCCAAAAGGTGTGCGTTTTTTGCGCCAATGCATTGTTAAAGGATCAGCGTGTCATGTAATATTCCCATATAAACTTTAACATCCAATTAAAAAATATTTGTATAGTAAAATTCGCTAATTCACGAGATCAATACATCCTTTATTAGACCGCTTATATCGAGTTAAATGCATCCTTACGGAGGTGTCGAAATGCTGAATCAATTCATTCACTTCCAACAGCGCTTAATGGGAGCAGCGTCATAGAGGGCAGAGCGTCACGTTATTTAAAGGGGACGTTAACTCGTTAACGAGTAGCAAATGATTAAGTAGCAGCACTGGTTACTTTTATGCCACTGATAAAGCTTTTATATGTAGTTTGGGGTAACAAAGGGGTTTTATAGGTTTGACTGAAATAATAATGCAATAACTGACACTTTAAATCAATGTTTCAAGAAACAACAACAAAAAAATTGAACAAAAAACAGATAAAGACAAAAAAGTAGCCATTGATAATATCTAAACAATACGTAGTAGTATAGTATACAGTATCCAAATCAAAATGTAATGAAATTAATTTATGTGTGATTTATGTGTAAATTATGTGCAATGTTAGCCACTAGGGATTGTTACATAGGGCTATACAGGCATCTAGTGGCAACACAAGGATATTACAGATACTAAATTGTGCAAAATGTTTATCTTAACAGTCAATTTACAAATAATGCATTCAGATTTGTGGAACTCAATGCACTGAATCTCCACAAATTAGTGTCGTTACTATGACAACCAATTTGAATGTGACAAGCAACTGGTGTCTGAAAAGAATTTGGGCGTCAAATTGGCTAGAAACGGCCCTGCTTATGAGGTGATTCTTTTTAATGAATAGATTAGTATAGTCTGATTCAGCACGATCAGTATAGTCTGATTCACAAAATAATGATTTTTACAAACTGAATCTTTTAAATATATGAGCCCCTGCCCCTTTTTTTCGCCAATGCTAAAGTTTTAGCATTTTCCTTTTAGCAAGACCTTTCGGTCTGATCTATGTGCCCCCAGACTGTGATTTCTACCAAGGGATATATATAGACAGACAGACAGACAGATAGATCGATAGATACAGCGGGTAAAGTAATATTGTGAAATATTATTATGTAAAATAACGTTTTTTCTATTTTAATATACATTAAAATCTAATTTATTCCTGTGATGCAAAGCTGAATTTTCAGCATCATCATTACTCCAGTCTTCAGTGTCACACGATCCTTCAGAAATCATTCTAATTTGCTGATTTATTATCAGTGCTGGAAACTGTTGTGCTGCTTAATATTTGTTGGAACCTGTGATACTTTTTTACAGGATTCTTTGATGAATAAAAAGTTAAAAAGAAGAGCATTTATTTAAAATAGAAATCTTTTCTAACAATATATTTCACAATATTACCGTTTTTTTCTGTATTTTTGATCAAATAAATGCAGCCTTGATGAGCATAAGAGACTTCTTTAAAAAAACATTACAAGCCTTATCTGTGTAATAAAGTAGAATGACACAGGAACATTTTTTTTAACACATGAAGAAAGAGAGGTGCAAAAAGAAATGGAAAGCCAAGACACCAGCTGAAATTTATCAGTAATTAGAAAGCAATCCTGCCCCTAGTCAGTGGAAATTAATTTTAGTTGGTTCAGTCCCAAATGATGGCCTTTAAAAAGGTGTCTCATGACCAATGTGTCACACAAGAAACATTTCATGATGGGTAAAAGCAAAGAGCTGTCTCAAGTCCTTCGCAACCTTATTTTTGCAAAACATACTGATGGCATTGGTTACAGAAGGATTTCTATACTTCTGAATGTTCCAGTGAGCACTGTTGGGGCCATAATCCGGAAGTGGAAAGAACATCATTTAGAATATTAGAAATATATTTACCGAGAAAAATGGTGATGTGTTCAATACTTATTTTACCTGCTATAGCTAGATAGATAGATAGATAGATAGATAGATATTCCAGAAAGGTCATTATAGATAGTCAGTCAACTTTTTTTCTGGATACATCTCATGTTAAGAAATTCCTTTGGCCTTTTGGGCTTTTCTGACCAATGCACCCTTTTTCTCCAAACACAGGTGGGGCAATGAGGCAAATTCCCCTTCTCCCACCAAACGCAGGTGGAGTAAAGAGACCAATCCTCCAACAACAAGCGGGCCTATCGGTCTGGGAACAGATGGCTGTGCCATGCTTGAGCTTTCTCAGGTAGATCAAACAAAACGGCTCAACAATGAACAATCCTGAGAGAAAAGACAAAGAAAGGTCACATTTAGGAAATATGTAATTCCCGTTTATACAAACGTGATCAGTCTATACTCCCAACGCACAGCACGACGGCTGCTTCGTGAGCAGTAAAAATGGTATTTAAAAAAAACCCTCAAACAATAGACCCCTCTGACTTACCTGTGCATTCTTAGAGGATTAGCTTGCATGGTGAGACGCTAGGCCATCCTAGGAGAGGAAGAGGGGGCCGTAAAGGCTTTTAATCGATTCCCAGGCTGTCGGGACCACCGGCCTCACACAAGGGAGCTATTATGAATGTTACCTGCTTTCCAGTACCCAGAGGCTCAGTTCAAAGGGTCTTGAGATGGACTTTCAAGCCTGGTGGGGAAGTGTCACCCTACACCGCTGTGAACAGCGCGCAGGTTTTGATGATCCGAGGGCGAAATATCAATGGAACGCACAGCAGCTGTAAATGTGCACTCACCGCACAAACGACAACGCGGGGTGCTGGAGGTCAGATGAGGATAAGACTGCTCGAAATGGGGTTTTAATAAGTCTGTACAGATAGGGAGGTGATTAAAAACAGAAGTGGATAAGATACATTTGTAAAGCGCCGCGCTGGTAACGGTTTACGCCTCGGGTTATGTCTTAAAAGCGTGACTCACAACCGGCTTGTCAAACCGTGAATGCTATAAATGAAGTTTGATATATGATTGCTTGACTTGAATGCAGTTCGTACCTTCAAAGCATTTTCTAAAACAACACTATAGAAGAGATGATTAAGGTGTTTCTCTCATTTCCCTACATCATCTTGTTTTCTGTTCTCTTAGCCATAATTCTTTGAGGAAAAAGAAGTGCTAAAGTGCACTAGAGTTTCTTTGAGTGCAGAACTTGTACTAAAGGTTTTCGGATGTTTCAACCATGTGTGAAACCCTCATTATAATGTTTATGTCAAAACTCTAACAGGACTTTTCCTTGGTTTCTGTCTGCAGATGAAGGAAAACATGATCAAAGATGTGACTCACACTAACCAAATCCCACCAGAGATGTTGGATACAAAGGAGGATTGAAGTAAAATTCTTTTTTTTTTTTAAATAAAAAAAAATGCAAAGGAAACTGAGGTGCCAACATGTTAGGAGCAAAAAATCCCGAAAAACAAAAGGTTGCATCAGTAGTTCATGGGATTTTTCAAGGTTTGTCTTTTTATATCCTTTGCCTTATATTTACCTCTGTTGTCAAAGGATTGCTGTTCTGCTGCTACGATTCAAACACCTCAGAGATGAAGAGGATCCAAGATGGAAGCTTTAGTTGATGCTGTCATATCTGTGTAGCACTGCGGGTTCAACTCAAGGTTACCAGGTTCTTAGTGGCATCATTGCACCTGCCACAGAAGGAAGACGACGTGGATTTAACATTGTCCACAAACTGGTATCCCACAGGGTTCTGTCAGTGGACCGCTATCGTTATCTTTTCTAACAATTTGGCTTTGTTCATAAACTGAGTGGTGTAAAATTTTAGGAGTGCTATGAGACATCCATATGAAGGTAGAGCACGAGGCTCTGGGAAAATTAGAAATGGTCGTGAACAGGTCATTTGGAAGTATTATAGCTATATCACCTCCTCCCACTGGTGAGAAAAGGCTTTTTTCTTCCTTTAATTATAGGTTCACACCAACAATTCACACATAAATATTTTCACATTAGCTTCACTCATTAAACAATGTTGGAAAAACCTGTTGACCTGTGAAACAGCTGCAACTGATTTCTTGTGCAATTCTATATCTTCTCATAAATCATAAAAAAACGTTTCATTACAGTGTTAGTTCTTCATTTTGTTGTTGTTCATTTTCTGTGGAGCACAAAATTAGATATTATGCAGAATGTCTGTGCTGCTTTTTCCAAAAACCAGAACCAGAAACCAAAAAAGTTAAAACTAGGCCATGAAACCATTTATTCCATGCTCTATATTCCAAGTCTTCTGAAGCTAAATAATATTACATTTTTTTAAAGTTAGGAAAGATCAAAATGTAAAGTGATAGTTCACCCAAACATATGTGTGTGTGTGTGTTTTATGTTGTTTCCCAGGGTTTTTTTTTTTTTTTAACTCAATTTGTGTGTTACAGAAGAAAGTCATACTGTTTTAGAATGACTTGTGAGTAAATGATGCCAATATTAAAATTTTTGGGTAACCCATCTCTATGAAATCAACATTAAGTGACGTTTACAACCCGTTTTACTTCTAATCAATCATATTTAAGAGCAAATATGGATAATTAACAAGAACTAAACTGGAGTCTGAAAAGTAGGCCACACCAGAATGCAGCCAGTTTAGTAGGAAAGCTTTGAGAAGTAAATTTTTTTCGGAAACATTTTTGATTTAATATTATAAAGACGATCACATTAAGACCAAGAACACGTATTATAAAAGATCGATTTCATGTTGAGTTGAAGTTGTTAGTGCAAATGAGATTTTGAGACTTACAGCGGAGAACATTTCCAGCGAATAACTTTTGTAAATAACTTTTGTCTGTTCCTCACATAAAGCTATTGTAAGGGTCCAGAAGACTTGGAATTTAATGAACGAGTTGCATGAACTACTTTTATCGTCCCGCTTTGTTATTTTCGTTGAGTTAGGTGAGTAAATGACAACATAATTTTCATTTTTGGGTGAACTATTCCTTTAACCTTTCCCTATGACATACTTCGAGAGTTTTATAACTTTCACCAAGCGTTAATTCCCATTAAACTCTGACAGGCGCTGTTGGGAAGATGATTGTGAGCCGGCACAGTATAGTGAGAGCAGCAGCCTCAGCCCTGACATCTGCCCAGGTCCTAAACACTTCTCGTCCTGCTGTGTCCTTCAGTTTACAGCAGCAAGATCCAAGATGACGACTGCCTGCGAGATCCAGTTGCAGGTAACTGTGTGTGAAACCCTCCTTATTTTCTTGAGCAATCTGTTTTTGACCTAGTAGTAGATATAGTTTAATGTCCTTCTCATCTGAAATGGTTTGGAGCTGATGAATAAATGAGATACAGGAAAGGCCGCTGCGAGGAGTCCACAGAGACTCGGTCTCGAACAAAGCTGGAATTAGTGTCAGCCTAACGTTCTGTACCCTGCGCTGAAGAATACGAGCATCACTGCCTCATTATCTCCAATAAGCATCAATTAGCTGCTCTGTAACAATACCACTACTACACATGCCAACAAGGGCGATTTAAATAGGACTATTAAAAGCAAAATGATCTGTTTATGATAATGAGATGAGGATTAGGTACTGTTATATAGTTTCTTTTTATAAAGTTATGAATATAAATGACGGCTTTGTTATGTCTGAGTTTTAAGTTCTGAATGTAAATAATCAGAGCTATGTTAAATAACCCCAAGGTTACCGCTAAAATTCATAGGACTCAGGATCATTTTCATGGGTGGATCAGTAACATTCGTGTTTGATCATCTTGCACTTAGAGGTCTATGTTTTGTAAAGGATTAGTTCAGCAAAAAATAAAACCTCTGTTGTGATTTACATGATTTTCTTGCTGTGGTACACTAAAGGAGATATTTTACTGAAAGATCACACTACTTATTTCTGTATAAATACATGCAGAGAGAGAGAGAAACTTGTGTAAGTGTAAATAATTTAAATAAAATACAATTGTTTATTATATATATATATATATATAAAATAAATAAAATAAGTATTGAACACATCACCATTTTTCTCAGTAAATATATTTCTAAAGGTGCTGTTGACATGAAATTTTCATCAGATGTCGGTAACTACCCAAGTAATCCATACATACAAAGAAAACAATACAAATAAGTTCAGAAATGAAGTTCTGTGTAATAAAGTAGAATGACACAGGGAAAAAGTAAACACAAAGAAAGGGAGGTGCAAAAAGGCATGGAAAGCCAAGACACCAGCTGAAATCTATCAGTAATTAGAAAGCAATCCTGCTACAAAGCATTAAATAAATTTCAGTAGTTCAATACTTTTTCCCTGTGTAATTCCATTTTATTACACATAACTTAATTTCTGAACGTATTTGTTTTGTTTTCTTTGTATGGATGGACAGCTTGGTTTGTTACCGACATCTGGTGAAAATTTCATGTCAACAGCACCTTCAGAAATATATTTACTGAGAAAAATAGTGACGTGTTCAATACTTATTTTACCCGCTGTATATATATATATATATATATATATATATATATATATATGCACAGTAATCAGGGGATGAATTTATTATATATATATTATTTCAAATTGATTTTAATTGTTTTTTTTTTTTTCCAAAATATGTACAATAACTGTGTGTATATTATATTATAATGAATAATAGGGCTGTGCGATATTGAAGAAAAATGCGATAACTCATTAAATAATGCAATATTCGATATGCGATACGATAATGCTTAAAGTGCCACATGCTCAGATGAAACAGTTTTACTCTGTACCAAGAGTTCCTGTAAAACCACAACAAATTCCTTGTGTTTGCGCACACTTAAGTGGTGAATAAAGCTCATCCTGATTCTAATATAACTAGTATACATGTTTCACTTTTTCTGAGAAGAAAGCACCCCTACAACAACTTCTGAAAGTGAACGGCAGTGTTGGGGGTAACGCATTACAAATAACGCACGTTACGTAATCAGATTACTTTTTTCAAGTAACTAGTAAAGTAACGTATTATTTTTTATTTAGAAGGAAATATCTGAGTTACTTTTTCAAATAAGTAACACTAGTTACTTTGTTTCCCATGTCTTGACTGACAGCTCTCGTGTTGCCATGTTGAGAAAAATGGGGAGTAAGTGCAGAGGCGTGGTGTGCGCTGTGATGTTACTGTAGTTCTAGATTACCCTACAACAACTTCTGAAAGTGAACGGTAGTGTTTTACTCTAGCATTACATAAAAATTTCATTTTAACATTTAACATTTACTCTATGAATTCAATATGCACTGATTCTTACTTAAGCTACAAAAGTTATTTAGGTAAGAGCAGTGAGTTATTTTCTCTTTGTCTTTTGTTCATGGCCCCAAATATTGCAAGCCGTAGCGATATGTACATTTGCGATATTTCGATAATTTCGATATATTGCACAGCCTTAATTAATAATATAATTAATGAATTACATTATATTATTTTTTAAGGCCCCTAGTTACTAATATATATATATATATGACCCAGACTGGTGTTGAACCCAAGATAACAGCTCTTATATGTCATGAACATTGGCATAAGCCACTGTGCCACAGCTTTGACCCATTTATGTTTAATAGAGGAGAAAAATTAATACGCACATAGAATGACAGGAGTGTGAGTAAGCTACTTTAATTATTAATAAAAAAAACTATTTAGAACTCTGATATATGTTTTTGTGGTCTGTTTTTATTTATTTATTTACTGTTCAAAGCTTCATCCTTCTTTGTGTCCATATGGATTTTTTTAACATCTGCCTTGTTTGTGCAAAAGTCGCATCAATTATTAGAAACACAAGACATAAAAAGTGTTTGTGTAAATCACCCTATATCCATCCACACATACGTAAATAGTTTATGCTAATATTCTCGTGACAGCTGGGAGAATGAAGGACAGGCTTCTTATTTACAACAGATTTTCTTAATTAAAGACTCGTAATCACACTCACAAGCTTCAAACAGTCTGCGCAGGTATCACAGGATTTCCTTATTTCTTTCTCTTGTGCATGTGCAGTATTACACTCATCACACAGTTTTAGGGCGAGAGGACATGTTACTGTCATTGAGACTTTAGCAAACATTAACTTATCTCAGCTAAGGGACAATTCACTGCTATGAGTTGCTTTCTGGTTTCATACAAAAATAAGCAATGATGTATGATTGATTACCTTGTCTGAACAATCTAGACATCTTCAATCTTTTTAGGAGATCCTTTCATGCACAGGGCCTCTTTTTTACATAAAAGAATCCAAAAAAAAAGTGGAAGATGTTACAAATTGCATGCAACTGAGAGTTAAATTTCAAATCGAAGTGTTGTGCCATATTAATATATTTACATATATTTGCATATTTTGCAAAGCCATTAAAATGATTAATGTACAGCTTTCTGTACAATTGTAGGCTACATTTTAATGTGGAAGGGACAATGAAACATTTAGCCGAACTTTAGCTTTGGTTCAAGTTGACTTAATGTTTTATTTTTGTGTAACGCATATTTTCATCTTTTTTATAGAATTAGATTCAGATCAAACAATAATTGGCAGACCCCCTGCGGTACCGCTGCGGACCCCCTGTCGAAGACCCCTAAGGTAGAATTTTTATGTTCTAGTTTATGAGCTGACTAATACAGAGTTGTGTGTCAAAATATACTTATGATTTTAGCCTGCAGATCATAAAAAGATGGAAAAATCCCGTTAAGGGAGAGAATTCGAGCCATATCCAGAGACTCGGATCTGTAAGTAACCACCTAGCAATCACACCTTCAAACATTCAGAAAATGTTAAAATCTGGTTTGGTTCCAAAATTGCTGTTCGGAGAATAGAACAATCCTTTTCATTTGCTGTTTTTGTTTGTTAAATTCTATGCAATGATCCCTGTCATTTGACAAAATGTTGTGGTTTTGGATGTGCGCACATATATAGGTCTGCCAGGGGAAAAAAAATCATTACTAAAATCATTGAATCATTACTCACTGGCCTT